TGAGAAACTGAATGTGTAAATGAGTATCAAAATGTATAGTAGATAATGTGAAATAGAAAGAAAAGGGACAGAAGAGAAATGAAATTAGGGAGGGGATGGGGGAAAGGAAAGAAAGGAAAGAAAAAATGAGAAAAGAAAAAAGAAACTGTAAACAAAGCTGTTGTAAAAAGGGAGGGGTTGAGGTGTTGAAGGCCGGGGAATGGTGTGAAAATGAAAACCAAGATGTATCATGTATGTGTAGAAATTCACAATGATGAATGTAGTCATAATGTATACCTAAAATGTACCAGTAAACTCAATGAATAAAAAAAATGCATAGTGAAGCCACAATTTAATGTTAAAAAACATTTTTAAGGCTGTAATTAAAAAGACTAACACAACCAAAAGGCTATAAAAACGCCAAGGAGCCTGGAATTCTCATACACTGCTGGAAAATATTTATTTTTAACACTACATTGAGAAAACAAACTGTACATTGGAGAACACTGCCATCATTTCTAAACCAGTTGATGATTTATCTACTTCATAATCCATCCTTCATTCACTGTGCAGAATTTTCCCAAAAGAAAATGAAAACATATGTCTCTACAGAGAATTGTAAACAGTGTTTCAAATGATTATATTGGTACTTCCCCCAAACTAAAATAACTCAACTGTCTCCGCACAGTGAAATGGGAAAGCAAATTCTAGAACATCCAAATAATTGAAAACTTACTGATAATAATCCAGCATGGAAAATATATCTAAAAGTGCAGCCTGACTTAGCACACTTATCTTAATTGTTTTATATATATTTGGCTTATTAATCTGGTTTTAAATCTGTATATATGATAATAAACACAGTTTGTATATTTTCTTACTGTATGCTAATTATAATTTAATAAAACTTTAAAAAAGAGAAAGTCATGTTTGTGCATTTTAATTATATAGAATATTTAGTAACAATATATTATTAAGATAACTGAAATATATATCATGATTACACTGTATATTTTCTTTAGTATGCAATATTCATAAGCAAAATTAATGTTCCATGAAACATACATAGTATTAGACCTCTGAATTTTTATTTTTACACACATTGATTATATTTTCACAATAATTTATAAAAGGAATATATATATATATGTATGTACCTATATATCTATATTTATAGAGAGAGAACAAGAAATGCATACACACTTCAGGAAAAAAAGAGTATGGTTTCTTAACAGATGGTGTTGATGGTATTACCCTCTTAATGAGGACTCTAGTGAATGTCCTACATCACACACAACCCACTTCATTGCTGGTCCTTAGAAAACAAGTTGAAAATGCACATGCAGCAATCTCAATGACCATGGTTATCCCAGAAGCAGTTTGACATAATAATAAATTTCTGGAAGTCAGTGGCCACCTCTTTTAATTGTAGAGGCCAAAGAAAACTTGCATTAATCTCATGATATCTCAATACATTTAGTATTAAAATATTTATACAAATTTTTATTTTCTTTAAGTGTGTGTAATTCCAGTTTTGAGTAAAACTAGAAATCAACAACAGAACCAAAATATGTTGAGGACGGCAAGGTACTTGAAATGCAAGTGAGCCAAAACGAAAAAGTGGAGGGAAGAAGGTGACATAAAATTGACCTCCAGGTGAGAGAATCAACCAAAGACAAGTTCTTCATGTCTCAGGCTTACTCTCTATGGATTTACATTGCCATACAATCCCACAAGACTAAACATATTGATTAATGAGAAGCTTTGGATATTGAAATCCAAGGTTCACAGAGACTGCAAATAGATTACCTGTGGCTGCACCCCCAGAGCCTCAGCCAGGTCCGGAGGCAGCAGCCCTGACACAGATCAGCGACCAACATTTCTATACATGATCCAGGTGCTTCTCTATCTTTCCATGTTCCCCAGAAGAGAGCATCCATTTATTTCCATCCCATCCACCCAAGATCAGAATGTCCTTCCTTAGTGTTGGCACCCAGGTCAGGTTAAGTCTGGTGCTTTACCTTTTGTCAATAATGACAGGTGTTTGTCTATCAGTTCCTCTTGTGAGCTAGGAGATGAAACATGAGGTACAGGAACAGAGCTCAGTCAGTTGTGTGGCATTTGCCTAGTTGTCATCATCTTCAGATGTTTGCCTCTTTTATGCAATAGTTTTCACTCTGCTAATGTTTAACTCTGCCCCTGGGTTCAGTAATATTCTGTTGCTCACCTTGAAGGATGTTCTGTAATTCTCTGTCCTGTATTTGGTAAGGTGCAAAGATATATGGCCAGCTCTTCTTATTCTTCCCTTCCCTGTTTAATTATGGAGCATATACATAGTGGACACTTTTACTGGTTCATGAATATTTCACAAGACAGCAGGTGGAGAGGAAAGCAGATCCCAATACACATTAGCTTGCACACTAGTCTATGAAATCCTGAGAAATTAAAAGGCTGAATATCACAGAAAACAATCCAGAATAAATTAACACATATCCTTGCATCTAGAAGTAGCCATTGTTGGTATTTTGCAAGCAGAATCCTTTAAGTAACAAAAACATGCATAAACATATCAGTTATGTTCTACTGTATCTTCCTTCTTTTTGAAAAATATTTATATTAATCCTTCTTCAGATATATCTTTGTTTTTTACAAATTACACAATATTAAATGACAGCATAAGTATGTCTATATATATATATGCATGCCTGTATATATGTAATGTATGGATATATAATGTGTGGTATAAGGCATTAGTGCAAGTAAATACATTAAAGTTATATAAAAACATTATACTGTTTTTCACCATTCAATGAAAAATGCAATGTATAATACATAATGTTTTGCTTTTGAAAGCAGAAGCTATTTTGTCTCGTATGTGAAAACTTTAAAATAAGTTTACCTGAAAGTAGACTAATGATTAGGAGTTTTTGAGAGAAATTTGGAAGGGAAGGGTAGAAGAACAGTGCATACCTTTGATCAGTGCCTTCTGTATTCATGAATGGGAATTTCACACTAAAACCCAGCAATATATACAACTATTACAGATTCAGTTTTTAAAAATAAAAGTAAGCAAAACAAGAACATGGTTTATAGATTGAATCACTGTATTGAAACTATAGAAAGATCATCAGTATCAACTTCAGTGTGGTTAGTGATTCCAAGGGGAAAGGTGATCATGATCCTTATCTGATAAATTATATATAAGTGGAAGTATGCATTCTTTAATATATAACAATATGTAATATGAATATGGCAATATAATGTCAATTATTTGTGTATGGTGTACACTCAGATCTCTGTTGATTTTATATGTTTTTTGAATACTTAAAATGTTTCATAAGCAAATAATTTAACATCTGTGATATTTTAAAGCATTTATTTACACTTTTAGTGTAGAGGAAGTGGGAAAACTAGGGGAAAGGAAATAAGGGAAAAGAAAATAATCTGAGAAAATGAAAGAATGGAAATAAAGTTTTTGTAAATAGGGAAGGGAGGAGGGGGTGAAGGGAGGGCAGATGTATGGGGAGAAAATGAGAACCAAGACCTGTTATGTAAAGGTACAAGATCCCAATGATGAATGTAACCATACTGTATACCTAAAAAGTACCAATAAACTCAATGAGAAAAAATAAATTTAAAAAAGATTTATATATTAACATACTCTAAATGTCTTGTTATGCAATTAAATTTTTTTATATTTTTATTATTTTGTGGCTATATCTAGATCTGCTTTATTTCCTTTTTCATTTTCTTTCTTTCATTTTCTTTTTTGTTTATTTATTTACTTTTTTCAGTACTTGGGATTGAACTGAGGACCTTCAGCTTGCCCAGCAGGCATGGCGCCACTGAGCTACATTCCCAGCCCTTAGGTCTGCTTTATTTATTCTCACTGCTAGACAATTTATTTAATGCACATAGAAATGTGGATGGATGTCATTTTTCATTGACTTGTTCACTTTTCTTACTTCTTTATATATGCAAGATTCTCACTTGGAGTTTCCTTCCTAAATGTGTGGTCATCAAACAAAATGTTTTTCTTAAAAGTTGTTCTGTGCCTTCTCTTTCTACGATTTCTCCTTAGCATTGCTTCCCTTCTGTTAGCAATTTTAGCAGGCAGTTCATTTGTATCTCTGACAAAAACAAATCAAAACAGAATTATTAACAGTCTCATAGGTGAAATATTATTTTGAAATTGTGTTCTCATTCTCAACTCTGCAACATCCCCATAACATTTTTCAAATGTTTCCCCATTAAGTGAATGAGGACACTGTGGGTTCTCATAAAGTTGCATTTTTTTTCTTATTTACAGAGCAACCACTACAGCCAGTATGTCTCAATTAAAATATTGATTAAAGTGATTATTGTTTATTTAGTTTTAGTATAGATTATTTTTAATTTTCTTGATCATTTAAGTGTTTAGCAAATACTCAAGAGAAAAGCCATATATGTTGTTTCATACTGGATTCCTATTAGTTGGTACAAGGTTTTTAGTGACTAACATTTCTATAATCAGTGCAATACAGTGGATAGTAGAAAATGTGATAAGTGAGATATAAGAAGGTGAAAAGATTAGTAATATATACTTCCCTTTACAATATATGTGTGTTTACTAAAAGAAAGGATGTAGTCTTTGTTTCATGTCCTGTGCTTTCTCAACAGCCTCTTCAAAAATATGGAATCAGAAAACCACACAAAATTAGCAGAATTCCTACTTCTGGGTCTTTCAGAGGAGCCAGACCTTCAACCCCTTCTCCTTGGTATGTTCCTGTTCCTGTACCTGGTCATGGTGCTTGGGAACCTGCTCAGCATCCTTGCCATCATCTCTGACTCCTACCTCCACACCCCCCATGTACTTCTTCTGTCCAACCTGTCCTTCACTGACATCTGTTTCAGCTCCACCTCATTCCAAAGATGATTGTAGACATCCAGACACAGCATGAAACCATCAGTTGCAAAGAGTACCTCATCCATACTTACTTTGTGTTAGCTTTTGGTGGACTGGAAAACTTTCTGCTTGACTGATGACCTTTGACAGTTATGTGGCCATCTGCAGCCCCCTTAGATATGTGGTCAATGTGAATCCCCATCTGTGTGTCCCACTGATTGCACTGTCCATGTCCATCAGCATTGTGGATGTGCTGCATCACAGTCTAGTGTTGCTGCGGCTCTCCTTGTACACAGACCTGATGATCTCACACTTCTGTGAATTTTCCCAGGTCATCAAGCTCACTTGCTCTGATACCTTCGTGAATAACATCTTAGCATATGAAGTGCCTGGCATATTGGGTGCTGTTTCTCTTGTTGGAATTATTTGCTCTTACATTAAATTTTTTTCATCCATCCTGAGAATGCCTTCAGCTAGGGAAAAGTATAAAGCCTTTACTACCTGGGATCTCTTCTCTCAGTTGTCTCCTTCTTCTTTGGAACAGTTTTTGGGTTGTATGCTAGCTCTGGATTGACTAGTTCTGCAATTGCTTCATTGATGTACATGGTGGTCCATCCACTGACGAATCCATTTCTCTATATCCTGAGGAACAGAGATGTGAAAGAAGCCTTGAAGAAACTCATCAGACTACCTTTTTTGAGATTGTCTCATGTGCTTTGAACTTCAGCTTCCAGAATGAATGAAAATACAGGTGCTCTGAGTAAGACAATATAATAGACACTCCCACAACCAAGTCCATAGGCTTTAAAGTTTAGATGCCATGATGGTGAAGGATGTTTCAATTTACATTTGAAAAATAACTTTAGTGTTATCTGACCCTGTAATTTGTGAAAATTCATGTTGATATTCTGAGCTTGATTTCATGGTCATTTTACACAGAAGAAATCACATGAGCAGAAGATTCCTGCTTTTCCATGAGGGGCTACTTCTCAGGAGAATGTTAATGACAGCAAGACTATGGGAAAAGGTGGGAGCTAAATAAGAGTTTCACTATTTGTAAAGAACCAGCCTCAAGCTAGTGGTAGTGCCATGGGTATAGTTTTGGAATTCTTACCTGAAGACCTAGTTTAACTCCACCTCCCATCTGAGGGTTTGCCACTTCATTCACGACAATAGATTGCTCTGATGGCTTCTATTCTGTGGAGGGAAAACCTGAAACTAGAAGATTATGTTCACATGTGAACACCACAAGTTATCAAATGCCTGCATCCGATATCTCTGAAGTTCTCTTCATCTATCAGAAACTGACAATTCAATTCTGAAAGGAAATAATTTAAACATCTGTGTGGTTAGCTTTTCATCAAAAATAAAATTTTAAGTTATCATGTTATGAAAATATGTTTGCTAGTCTCTCTCTGTGTGTATGCATGTGTTGTGGGAGAGGGGCTGATTATTTTTTCTTCCATTGAATGGCAATTATGAACCAATATGTCATATAGTAAATAAAGGTTTAAAGCATCTTGTTGCTATATGCTTGGAGAACATAATACTTGCTTTCATCTCCTCCATATACATATCAAATCTTGACCGTTTTTACCTCTCCTTCCTTTTCCTTTCTCCTCATTTCCTCAGATACCGTTCCCATCTCCACAAATTCTATATCCACTTTTCCTAGCATCTCTTTTATAAACAATGATACATTGGAAAATACATGAGGAATTCAAAAAATTATTTTATTGGTAATTTTAGGTATATAATATGACATTTACCATAGGATATCTGTACCATGACATAGTATATGTATATTCTTATTTTTCCTACTTCCCTTCCCTCTCTTCAACCCCTCCACTCTTCCCTATTCGCACTGTTTTTTCTGTTCTACTTCTTTCCCTTTGCATCCTCTCCCTCTGATCCCTTTTATTATATTCACAAATCTACTTCTAGTTTACATTTATCTCTGCATTATTGACTTTTGATTACTTTTATATGGAAAACTTTTTTTTAACTTTCTGAGTCTAGTGCATTGCACTTAGCATTATGGTGTCTAATTCTTTTTATTAAAATTATTTTTGGTACATTTTAGGTATGCAATATAATGACATTCATTATTGGAGATTTGTACCTTTACATAATATATCTTGATTCTTCTTTTCCCTATTCCCCTGCCCTCCCTTCAACCACTCCACCCCTCTCTATTTATAAAGACATTGTTTCCATTTTTTTTACTTTCTTTTTTTATTATTTTTTAATTGAGTTTATTGGTGCAATCTAGATATGCAATACAGTTACATTCATCATTGGGATTCTGTACCTTTACATAATAAGTCTTGATTCGCATTTTTTCCCCTTGTCCCGGCCCTCCCTTTACCCCCTCCTCCCCTCCTCATTTACAAACACTTTATTTCCATTTTGTCACTTTCTCATATTTTTTCCTCTCCCTTATTACCTTTCCCCCACCCTTCCCACTTTCCCTACACCTTAAGCCCTTTACTTCTTTTAATTTCACATTATTAATTATCTCATTAGGACCCTGTGTACTATTATAGTTTTCACACCAAAGAAACTATTCGATATTTCAGTTAAAGAAATCTCTGTATGAACATTAAAAATAGGGAATCCTAAAATAAAACTAAAAAGGAAAGTAAAAGAGAAAAGGCAATGATGTAACATTAAAATAATCCTTAATTCTGGAGATGAAAATGGTCCCTGAACATATTTAAATTGCTTCTTGCTGTTATAGTCTTATCTTATTCTTTTTTACATTATTTAGAGAGTACTTTATTAGTTTCTGTAATCAAACCTACGTGAACAAAATTATAGATTTTCAGCACATTCCATTAAAAACAAAACAAAACAAAACAAAGAAAAGAATAATATCCAGAAAACAGCAAAGTTCCGTTGCTGTTGTGGTTCCTGGGACCATTTTTATTTTATTAGCATCTTAGTCATCATCTGGAAAGAGAACATTCTAGAGTAATATCATTAAATGTAGCTCTGATAACGCACAGTCCCTACTATGTATCATAAAGCAGGTCCATTAAAAACAAAACAAAACAAAACAAAGAAAAGAATAATATCCAGAAAACAGCAAAGTTCCGTTGCTGTTGTGGTTCCTGGGACCATTTTTATTTTATTAGCATCTTAGTCATCATCTGGAAAGAGAACATTCTAGAGTAATATCATTAAATGTAGCTCTGATAACGCACAGTCCCTACTATGTATCATAAAGCAGGTACAAGATATTTTACATTCATAGAGGTATGAAACAGTACTGTCCTAAATCTATAGATTCAGTTTGGGTTTGAAATTTACTTCTGAAAATAAGATTGCTACCCCTATTTTTTTCTGGGCTCCTGTCACATAGGGAATCTTTTTCTATCTTTTCACTGTCAGTCTATGGGCTTCTTTTTGCACTAGGTGTGTTTCTTGTTTATAATGTATTGTTGGATTTTGCTTCTTATGCCATTTGCCAGTCTATTTCTCTTGATTGGTGAGTTGAGGCCATTAACATTGATGATTATAACTGATATATACTGACTTATTATTGACATGTTATTGGCCTTTTGTTGACTCTTTTTCCTTTTTCACCCTCTCCTTTTAATTTCTTGCCTTGCCTATTTGATTTGCTCTTTTGGGCCTCATGGTGTTGTTGCCTTCATTGTCTTTTTCTAGGATCTTGTTTAGAATTCCTTGTAGTGCTGGTTTGGTATTCACGTAGTTTCTCAGATGTTCTTTGTTGTGGAAGTGTCTTATTTCCCCATCCATTTTGAAAGAGAGTTTTTCTGGATACATCAGTCTAGGTTGGAGGTCGTTCTCTTTTAGTACTTGAAATATCTCATTCCAGGCTCTCCTTTTCCCAAGGGTTTGTGTTGAAAAGTCTGCTGTGATTCTGGTGGGCTTTCCTTTGTATGTGATTTGTTTCTTTTCTCTTACTGCCTGTAGTATTTTATTCTTTTGTTGGGTTTCTGGGATTTTGATTATTATATGTCTAGGTGTAGATTTTTTTTTATTGTAGCTAGTTGGGGTCCTATATGCCTCAGTTATCTGAATGTCAAATTCTTCCCCCCTGTTTGGGAAGTTTTCTGTCATTAATTCTGTGAACAGCTTTTTTAAGTCATTTGTATTTTCTCCTGCTACTTCATGGATTCCTATCAGTCTTGTTATTCTTCTTTGCATCATCTAGGAGTTGTTGGATCGATTTCTCATGATCTCTTACTGTTTTTAAGAGACCTCTCTTTTCATGGTCACTGACTGCAGTCTTATCTTCTATATTTGAGAATCGATTTTCCCATTCTTTTATTCTGTTGCATACACTTTCAATAGTGTTTTTAATCTCCTGGATATCTGTTTGAATCTGTTTTATGGATTCCATTTCTTTCCTATGTTGGGCATTTATTTTTTTCCATTTCTTTCTTATGCTGGGCCTTCATGGCTTCTATCATGGTCCTGAGCTCATCTATTTTTCTGTCAGTTTCTGCTCTAGAGTCTCAAATCGTGACTTCCATTTTGCTCACTATCTCTATGGTTATCTGGGAAATTATTTGTGTTTTGAATTTTTCCAGAGCCTGATTGATCTGTTTTGTTACTTCCTTTGCTTTGAGTTCAGGGTGTCCTGGTGGTTCACTATCAGCCTTTTCATCCTCATTTGCCCTGCTGTTTGCCATTGGTGAACTGGAAGTCTGTCCTTATGTCTTGCTTAAATGTTTTCTCATTTTTATTTTTGTTGTTGGACTGTCCTTGGTTTAATCTCTGGATTATCACCCAAATCTTCCTGATATATTTGTGCCCTAGCTTCTGTGTCTGTAACAACTCACAAACAATCTCATCTTCATAACATCAGAGAAAACAGCTTATCAAATCAACCACAATGCTTTACCCCTACTGATACAATCAGCAACCCATTAAGATCAAGCACAACTTTGACACTGACCACCGGTAGTAGTCACTAGTCTATCACCCTTAAATCATTTGAATTAAATTGAAATCAAGCAGCAGTCCAGAACATGTCTCCAGTGAACAAAATTTCAATATTGTGTATTTACCATTTAATGGTTCAGACAGAGCGAGGATGCAAGACCCCTGATCTCAGTTAGCTGATGGCTGAACCCCATGACGCTGACTGACCTCAGGCTGCAAGGCCCAGACTGAGTTCCCCAACCTTCTCAATGGTTGAACTCCACCACATTCTATTACAGGCTTCCCACACCCTTTCTTTAAAGATGCTCAAAATTGGGAAATCAGAAAAATACCCTTGATGACCACCTCTCCCTCTGCAGAGTGGGTTCAAAGACTGGCACAGTCAGGAGGTCTGAGAGTGCGGTGGTGGTGGGGGGCTTATGGGGGTTCAGGGGCACCTGCGTGGCTACCTTCCCTGCTCTTGAGTGATGGCGGCTGGGTTGGGACCTGGTGTTGTTCTCCTTGGGAAATACTTTCATCAGTTGTTCCTCAAAGGTCAAATATATAAAATATATAAAGAACTAAAACAATCACACTTCCCAAATTTAAGGATCCAATACAAAAAAAAAAAAAAAAAGAAAAAAAGGTATTGAAATGAATTCTTCTCAGATTGAGAAA